AGCTTTTGTAGGTCTTGAGATGAAAAACCGTGACAGACGCACACACAGACACACAGACAGACAACCCCTCGTCAATATGAATTTTGGCATTGCATAGCTGCAAAAAATGCATAAAAAATTGTACTTTGCCAGGTTATTCGGTGGCATTGAGCTTCCGACAATGAAGAAACGCCTCAGTTAGATTATCCTCTTCCTGTCTTCACGTGCTTGTTTATTTAGCATCATTTCTCGGTCGTTTTTTTGCTTTTACACTATTCTAGTTAACACTATTATCGTTATAATTTTACTTTTTGACTGCTTTGATAAAGTTAATTGTCCGTTTTGCCTCTTTTCGGCTGGCCTTCGCTCCTTTTCGATTTTATTTTTAGCATCCTCCATCTCACTTTTCTCCACGGAAACGAATTTGTGGTTTTAAAAGCGAATGGGGACGGGGGAGGGGGCATGGGAAACGTCCTGTCTTTCTTACTTCGCTCGTTCCGGGTGTTGCTACTAAAGGGACATAGTAAATATATTTTAGTCCCAGCTTGGGCATGTCTATGATTAATTGCGTAAGCTGTTTTTTTTTTTTGTGTTAGTTTTGCATAAATTTGGCATTTTCTGTAAGCTAAGTGATGGTTGGTTTTTTGTTTGCAGAATGCAGCTTTTGTTTTTTTCTCTGTCTCAATCCCTCATGGGGAAAACGAACAAGCTAGTGAGCATACTGCTAAATCTAGGAAGAAAAGCGCCAAATTTCCGAGCTTTTCAAGACTCGTTGTAATGTGAGAAAGATTCAGTGGGGCGTAATGAAATAATTAGAAGCCAAAGAAATCGACCCAGAACTATGGCAAGAAAATGTGAAATATTTAAACGTGTGAGTTACAAAATAAGGCAAAATCTGTAGACATGTCTTTTTTCTATTGGAAGTTGCAAATGTAATTGAGCCACCTGACGTAGTACGATTTCATTTTCAGTGGCTAAAATCTGCCTGACTTTTGGCATACCCCCTGCCCCTCCCCTTTTCCTCATGCCTAATTGTGGGTAGCTAAAGCTTTTTATGTCATTTTGATTTTTTAGGAGAAGAAATGGATTCTTCAAAAAGCATTGCTGCAGTGGAGGAACATTATCTTCGCACCACAGGGAAAAAGCTACCGCATGAACCGAAAACACTGAAACATCTGACCAGTGTTTTGCCGCCTGTTGAAGTGGACAGTGCTGGCGCCTCATACAATCCTCCAATTTCGAGTTATTTGGTAAGCTATAGCAATATTCAAAAATGGCGTTTAAGCGCCTGGACTTCCCCTCCCTGCTCTCACTCCTTCATAGGAAGCGCTTACGCATTTCTAAGAGTATTTCAAGCGATCAAAGCCGGACAGTCCCCGATCACG